GAAATAGCTGTATGCAAAAAGCAATGCCAAGCTGAACTTTCCAAATATTGCTCACTTTAGAAAATGATATCCTCAAAAACAAGCAACTTCTTGGTACTCAGAAGAAACAAACTTTTTGCTACCATTTACTCTTATACTGCATTTTTCCTAATAAACAGAAGCATGTGATAGAACACTGCTTAATTTCTACACTGAAATTATTTTTACGTATGGCAGTATTATTTCAGGGTTCTAGTCAGTGGAACAGATGAGGTCTTTCTTTCAAAAAATGTATTCCCTGTGCATTCATGGTAGTCAGCATGGCTGTTACTGAAGCACACATGCACTTAAACCAGTAATTAAAATAATGTCTGCTTAGAGGCCAGAGTGATTGCATTCTTTGTATTGATGTGACTTCACAAGGTGTAAAGCACTGGAGATTCAGCATTTTAGTGGGTTTTGCCTACACGTAAGCATAAGAATGCTGCTTACTGCATTCTGCAGTGAGAAAGTATCACTATTTGCTGCAAATAATTTTATACACGTTTGCTTACAGGCAAGTAAGCCTAAGAGACTAGAATAAAAGAGTGATACAGATCAGTTTGTCAAAATCTAATTTAACAGTTTTTGATCATAAAGATAACAACTGATGACTTTATGCAAGCTGTCCTGAAATTCATCATAAAACACTAAATAAAGGATGAAAGGAGTTTCAAAAAATACAGTGCATGCCCTCAAAACCTTCAGTTTTAACAAAGATATTTCTTTTTTCAAGTACTTTCCATCTTCCTTACCTATAATTTCTATAAATTAGCAAAAAAAAAAAAAAAAAAAAAAAAAAAAAAACAATCCTTCTAACTCTCCTGCAACAGATCCTGAATTGGATAAGCCTTTCCCCTGGCTCCTAGCCTCTACATATCATCAGATATTTTAAATGCCAATACATCACTGATGTCAAATTCGAAGTATTCATCATAACTTTCCTTACATTAGAAATGAATCATAACTTCTCACATGTCTAAAAAAAAAGATAAAGAAAGCTGCCTTTAGCTGCTCTTATTTTTCTTAAGCATTAATAAGCTTTCAGTAACCCACTTACCTTTTTCTGGCTCTAGAGAACATACCAGAAAAGGTGTTGAAAGTGGAACAGGAATTCATGTTATGCCTAGAATACACTATTAAAGAATCTATCAACTGAATATTGATTTGCCTTACAAATACAGTCCACGATGCTATAAAACTAATAAGCTTACCCTCCAAAAAAGACAATATTGACATCAGCTGAAAGTGGCTCCAGAGAAAAATCAAATGGCATTTCAGAGGTGAGAAAACAGAAAAGAACACAAACATGTTTGTTTTCTATGTTGTACAATTTCCAAAGACAATTCTGATGTCAGAGTTGACTAGTCAACTAGCTATTAGCAAACTGAAAGCGATTTTAGCTATTTTCAGAGTATGATAAACTAGTGACTCAATATGCCAGTTTGAGAGTAATCATAGAATATCCTGAGTTGGAAGTGATGAATTTCAGTGGTTTCAGAATGAATCCTACAGTATATTATAGATGTCATAACAATCCCACTCTCTCCAGAAGTTAGTAGTCATGGAATATATCACACAGTTTGACAAGCAAATCTCTCAACAAGATCAACGTTTATTTCCTATGACCTACAAAGCAACTCTTATCACAACAAATGGAGCAAGCCCAGCACATCTCAACATAAAGACAGATTGAGACAAATCTATCTACATTACAAAACCTCAGAGGACTATCAAAGTAAGCTAAAGATATATGTGCTCTCTCAATGCAAGATTTTAAAATCCATCTTAACTCAAAACAGTACTTTCACTGCTAAGCAAGAAAAAAGCCCCTAATGTGCCAGGAGCTAATTAGGAAACATAAGATCCAAGGTCTTATGTTCCATGTATTGTATTAAATAGCATTCTAATAGCAAGATACGGTCAACTGTAATTTTTGCCAGAAGTAACCAAGGAAACCACTTAGCTGAGTGCATACACAGGGGGAGATAGCAAAGGAAATGGACTCGCATCCAAATTCAGAAAAAACTTGGAGAGCTAGCTGCAGCAAGCCTCCAAAAGATGCAGCTGTTTGGAGAAAGCTTATCCATATTTATTGAAACTTTTTTGGTCTAAAAACCACAGAGAAGACAGAGCAGATTCTCGTACAGTACTGAAAATAGAATGGCAGCCACAGGTCATGAGACAGTGGTGTTGCAGTAATTCACACTGTCAACATTCATATTGTAGTAACTCTTGTATCTTTGATAAGTCTTGTTTACAAGGACTGAAAGTCTTGACAACACTTAGACAAGTAATCTGAAATAGTTGGCAATTTTGTCTGTGCTACTGTGCAGAAACAGATTTTTGAGAGAATGCAAGCATCCACTCATGCAGCAACCCAGAGAATGCCCAGAACCAGCTCACTGGGTCCTGCCAGGTGGCACGGTGACCCATTGGGTGGCATGATCTCATACATCACGCCTCTGGCAGGAAGCTCCAGCTGAACAAGATTTCTGCCTCAGATGGATGCGATCTTGAGAGCAGCCTCAAAAAGGTTTTAAATATAAAGATGCTAAACTCAGTCTGGTCACAAAACCTTTAAGCAGTGGCAATTACAGGAGGGCTGCTTGCAGCAGCGCATTGCAAGCTTTTTTGGAACTGCAGCACGTTCTTAACCTAGTGAATTAAAGCGGTAGATGCCTACTAAAAGTAATCCGGACAGTTTTCAAGAAACTTTGCTATTGCAGAGCATACGTATCATCACAATATGAACAAAATTCTTTAAAATCAAGACACGCAAAATCCCCTTTAGAATTTTGTCTGTGTTTTACAGAGCATTAACTGGTGCTATTTCATTTGCAAGATATAAATTACTAGTTTTATTTCAGAGAATTGCAGATAGTGCCTATATCCATCCATGCTCCAGTACCACTACTGGCAACTGAGAATATTCTGATTATTTTCCATAGGAATTTAAGTACATCTAGATAAAAGAATCATTTAAAAAGCAGGCATGCATTCAGTTCTTACTGAAACCAATGAGCATTTGGCATTTATCTGCCTTTAAAAGAATCAAGGTCATCTTGATTATCAGGCATCTTTTTTCATTAAAATATAAAAGCGTACTCATACATGGCTTAGGACAGAACCAGCACACAGCACTGAAAGATTTTCTTAGTGTTGACTACAGTGCTTTTTTGGGCATTTTTTCCTCCTCAAATTACCATTGTCATTTTACCATTCATTCACTCTAGAAAATTATTTTAAACATACTGATTTCATTCATTTTTAAGTGTATAAATAATAAATAATAAACTAGTGGCAGAATATTGACTGTGACATTCTTTAATTGTTATTGGGCCTTTTTGATAATGAGCCATTGTTTGATTGGCTGTACCATAATTAGGTTTTGGTTGGTTGCAGGATTTTTTTTTTACTTAAATAAATAAAACAAGATTAGAGTACTGCAGCTGTACTGGAATAGAGAGGGGAAAGAGGAATGCCTCCATACAAATTCACAAGCAAAGGGAACACTTTTCTACAACTTAAAACCCAGCTGCACAGCTACTTTGCCAAAACATTGGAGGTTTTTTCCTCCTAAAAAAATAAATAAATAACACTTCATTTTACAGCCATATGTGAACACATCCCAACTTCTATCTGCTTGATAGCCTGGAATGGGATGCTACCTTCTCTCTGCATTTATCTATTTAGATGAAGTGGAAAAAAAGTCAAATCACAACAAAGACAGAGTGGAAATCAGCGTGGTTCTGTGTAATTCAAGAGACAGGGCCACAGACAGGAAGAGAGAGTGATGTAGCAAGAAGAAAAATGAAGATGGTTGCAAATATATTTCCAGAGGGTAAGGGGAAAGACGTTGAGATTGCTCATTTTTTGGCTTAATGAATAAATCATTTCTGTTTCCTCCCCCCGTATGCACCTGCTGCTTTGAAAAGCCCCTTCCACAACCAACAACTGAACAGCAAATGCTGCACAATGACTCGAATGTTGCTGGAGCTATGCCAGCAAAAATTACCACTCTTCAACCAAGATAAACATCATATTACTTCATTACCCTTTTAAAGCATATGCAAATTAAATCCATTATTCTTTTTTCTTACAGAAATGAAGTTCCTTTGGCTGGAATTCAGCAGCTCCCTTTGTCATCGTTGACCATGAATGGATGAACTTCATGTAGATGATGCCCATTTCCCATCTTTGAATCAAACATTAATACCATTTGACAGTAATAAATAACATTTATCACAATAGGGATCTACTAATGATTTTCCCACTAAGCTGGCTCATCAGAACCTATCAGCTGACAACTGCATAAATGAGATTAGCATAACAGCTGCCTATGACAAATGTATCTAAATCATTTTAATGCCAGCTAGCTCTTTGATCTCCCTATCACGTTGTTGCCAAAACTAAATCCATTTCTTCAAGATACATGTTGTTTATTACAGATACATGTGTATATTCCACACCATTATGTACTCCAGAGATTTTAGTAATTAAAAGAATTAAAAATACTGATTGGATACTGCTACTATAATGTAAACTTGCAACTCTGCACTTCAGAACAGCATTCCACTGCCTTCTTAATCCCCTCCTTTTTCTCCAGATTGCAGAATTCAGTGTTTAATAGCTGCGTGTTTCCCTGACACAAAAGACATGTTTTAATTTAAACACATATTAACTTCTCTTTCTGAGCATTCCTTACAGCGGCATCATTTTCATACAATTTAAACTAATTCCCAGTAATATAGGAGTTGGCTCCAGGAACATATTGAAGCAAGGAGTCATTGTGCATGTTTGTATGAATGCAAGACTGACAAAGAAAATCTCACTGGTAGTGCAGTGTATTCATGTTGTGACAGTTATTAAAGGGTTGCCTATGAGATTGTCATACAAACTCATGACAACAGACCTCAGACAAACCAAATGACAATAGCTCTTGTTGCACTTCCATAACAACACTTGTAAAAGCATCTCACCTTCCAAATACTGCTCAGCAGAAAGCCAGTGGGCTCCTCATTATCTCAACGCAGATAATCAGAGTTCTTCAGGGCCTTGAAGATAGATGGCTTCCCTGATGTCAAACACACACAAGACAAGATGTGCCTTGGTACTATAGGGAAGCCATCAGGTTCACAGCCCATAGATTAACACATGATATTGCATAAGCCATGAAGGATATAACGCACTATAGGATTGAAAAATAAATAACCACCAAGAAAACATCAAAAATCAAATTCCCCCAATATGTTTTTTGAAGTATATAATTGCCTTTTTCAAAAATATTGACCTTTATAACTATTTCACATAAAGATTAAAAAATGTCAGTTTGTATCTGTTGGCACATGTACATTTCTAAAAAAAGTTATTCTCACTCCCCATTTTTGAACCATTTGGTAGCCATCAACCAGCTGAAACATGCAGGAGAATCTCAAATGTCTGGATTAAGCTTTTTAGTGGCTTCCCACTAGCGGCATGCCTACATTTGAGAGCCCCTCACTTAAGGCTCAGCCCTGCACTTTCCCTAGACTGTACATCTTCATATATGCAACAAATTTGATTTGGAGTTCATAGAAATTTCTATGTTCTTCCCCATCTGCATTTTCAGGCAACTTCTGCTTAGAAGTAATCAAAGCTATTAATGCATAAATCATCTTAATGGCTACCATATGAATAAAAAGAATGCCAACTAGGTATCTGTGCTGAGCTCAAATGCATAGGCATTTACACAACAACTAAGACAAAGTAAATTCTGCAGTGAGTCTTTTTGCTTCAACTGACAACCAAACTAGAAATATTGAATGGCACCAGAGCTCCATTTTTATAGAAGCTGCACTAATTCACAGTGGAAAAGGTTTCTTTTAGAAACGTTAATTTTGAAAAGTTTGAAGTATTTTGCATAAGCATGGAAAACTGGCAAGTATGAGAACTAATGAGATTGCAGACTGAGATCTGTTAACAGTATTCTAGTTACAGAGCTCTGTAGTAAATATCTTGTTTTTAATGCTGTTAAATTCACAAGCACTTTGTTCTTTCTTGCATTTCAATTAAAATTCATGGGATGTTTTCTCCACATATTTTTCACGTCTGTCTGCATTTTCCATATCAGACAAATTTCTGGCCATTTATTTTTCATGTAAAATGAACAGAATGCACGGTCTTTTGTCCAAGCCTTTTGTTTTCTAAAGCAGTCCATTTTTCATGGATGAAACTGAGGTACACACTTGCAGTTTTGACAGCATTTCTTATCATTCTCTCCAGTTAGCATTGTCACCTTTCATTATTTAATTTTGAAGCACAAGGAAGGCTGATTTATATCCACGAAGTATAATTACAGGCAGATGGAGGGCTCAGAAAGTAGAAACACTGAATTAGGGCTGTGGTAAGTGCCTGTAAGCTTCTTGTGAGAAGTCCTCTCTGTGCCACTAGCTAAAAACAAAAAAACGCAGCAATTTAAACTAAATGAATCCATGCTGTTGTAGGTGCTGAGTTAATGAAAGTGAATACAAAACTAATAAAGTGCATTGGTTGTGGTTGCAACGTAATTTATGATGCTTTCAAGTACAAATGATGAAACGTGTTTGTATTAATCAAAATAATCTATGAATGCGCCATGGTCAAAAAGGCTTTTTTCTTGCTTCAAACCTCCACTTCTCTTGAAACCATTTTGACACAAGTCCACTCTGCGTTTTGAAGAGAGAAACGCTTTCTGTAGTTCTTTCATATGATAATGTACAGTATATTTTCAGCTGCCTTTTTTAAGTTTAAACAAATGGAAGGCTTATTAAGAAGATATCATAATTACATGCAGTTATTTTACTAGCTCTTATCTGAAGCAAAAGCAAGCAATTAATTTAGAACATAAATTCATTCAGGACACTTACTGAACTTGAGGGATAGACCAGCAGGAAAAAATACTGCTTCACCTTTCCTGTAGAAAGAGAGCAAACTGATTTTAGCAAGCTTAGTACCATCTACAAAAGAGCTCTTACACTTGAAAAATTAACTAGAAATTCAGAAAGCTTTAAGATTCTTTAGCAAATAGCTACAAATGCAAAAAAAAAAAAAAAAAAAAAAAATTACCTCAGTAGTCCAAAATGGAGTATGCAACTCTGACAAACAATAAAAAAGCTACTATATTAGTAGATATGCAAAACAACAGGCCTATGGGGCCAGTGGTTCAGTTCTTGCCAGCAGAAACTGAGTCACAGAAACACAAAATCATAGAGATTGAAAGTGACCTATGAAGGTCATCCAGTCCAACTTCACTGCTAAAGCAGGATCCCTACAGTAGGTTGCGAGTTCCCAGATAGATTTTGAATATCTCTAGAGAAGGAGGCTCCACAACCTCTCTGGACAGCCTGACCCAGTGCTCTGTCATCCTCAAAGTAAAAGTTGGTTCTTATTTCCAGTTTGTGCCCATTGCCCCTTGTCCTGGCACCGGGCACCACCAAAGAAAAAAAACAACCCAGCCCCATCCATTTGACTCCTGTCCATTAGATATTAATAAGCATTGATCAGATCTCCCCTTTGTCTTTTTTTCTCCAGGCTGAACAGCCCCAGATTCCTTAAGCCTTTCTTCTTAAGGGAGACACTCCAGGCCCCTAACCATCTCTGCAGCCCTCCTCTGGACTCTCTCCAGCAGTTTCCTGCATTTCTTGAACTGAGGTGCCCAGCAGTGGACCCAATGCTCCAAAGATGGCCCCACCAGAAGAAGAACAGAATTGCCTTCCTCTACCTGCTGGCCATGTTTTTTGCTTTTGTTTTTGTTTTTTCATGTGCTTCAGGATACTGTTGGCCTTCTTGAACCTTGAGGGCAGACAGATGGCTCACTGTCCACAAGGAGACACAACCAGCTCCTTCTCTTCCAATCCCCTTTCCAGTAGGTAGCCTACTGCTTCCTCAATATACCATTTTACTTTCAAATTACAGATCAATGAAGAAGTAATCACTAATAAAAACAGTGAGACTTGTTCTTCATTCTAAATGTAAACTCCAAATGGAAAGTATTATGAGCACTATTAGTGCTTATTCTATTTCCTCTGCTTTAAGCATTCAACTCTCTCAAGTGCTGATCGCCACATTCCCCCATCCCTAAGCAAGGAAAATATTTTACATGTGTTTGACATTAAGGATGAGTAGTCATACAGGAGACCATGAGGCCCTTCATGAGCTTTAAGATTAAGCATCCGCTTAAAAGTGTTAGCATATGAGTGAGGGCTTCAGAGTAAGAGCTGCCACTTCAGCTGTCACAACAGCGGTGATGTGCACCAGAACAGGAGCCCCAACCACAGTGATTGCTCCTGCATATCAGAAAGCTCTGCCCAGAGGGAATTCCTCTGAATAGGCATTTGTCCAGGTTTGAAATCACAGGGACTTGCTGAAGCTGCTGCCCTCACAGGGGAAGGAGCTAAGGAAGGCAGAAGGGAGCAGGAGGAATGGGCAATGACCACGTTCTTCAGACACTGCTTCACTGCCTAGCTCTAACCAATGCTTAGGGCACATTTCTGTTAAATGAACAACTTGGAGACTCAGGAGGGCAGAACAGGAGCAAAGTCCAAATTCTTCAGCAGTTGCTGCATTACTCACTCCAGAATGAATGGAATCTTTTGCTGGAGTTCCTCTGAGATCATCAGGTTCAGTACATTGGGAGCTCAAGGTGTCGGTTTTTAAAATCCCAGTAATCTAGAGATCATACATAATGGGTTACCTCCTGTCTTAGCCTTAATTATTATATTCTAGTCCTGATGAATCAAAGTCAATTAAAAACACTAAGAAACATGCATACAAAATCATTCACTCCTCTCTTTTTGTTAAGAGAATAAACAAGAAAAAAATGGAAGAACATTGAAAACAGTCCAAGATTTTTCCACTTTTAGTCAGAATATTGCATAGAAGCTTGTTACATATTTCAGACAAAAAAATGCAAATCCTCTTTCTCTCAAATGAAGGACAGAATTTTTGTGCTGGAATTTTTTAATGTTTTCCAAGCTACCAGTGAAACAACTGTTTTTTCTAGCAGAAGCATTTGGCGAGCACAAAAGCAGAGTAATACTTCATCTGCCTGTAGCTGTCTTCACTTGCAAATCTCAGTAGCACTAATTCATTTTGGAGAAACACTAATGATATTTTTTTCCCCTCTTGTCATCGATTGGGCTTGGAATATTTCTTTTAATGAATGTGACATAATTCATGCACAGTCACTACTGAACCTAGCAAATTCTTAATTAGTGACAATTTTGCACCTGCTGTTATGGGTAGATGGCAGTTCTCTTTAATTTAACTTGAAACCTTGATTATTCACTGGAAACTGCAGGAGACACCGATTATCTAACATGTTTCCTTAAAAGAGCATAGCAGTTCGAGCTGGATAAATACAGAAAAATCATTTTCAAGAATTTTCCAGCAATCAAAACCCCAACCCAACAAGGTACACATTGTGCCACTGCATTCGTGAACACCACCCCCTGGGTGATAATGGTACCTCAGATGCCAAAAAGTAAACACTATGGTGAGTTTGACCATATTTTTAACCTAAACTTAGTGAAGTTGGAAGAATTGTGTTTTGTACAGGACATAATCCTGTTGGAACATGTATCTGTCTCCAGTACCAAAGCCTTCTACAGAGATATCTGAAGCATGAAACACAGCTATCGTGCAGTAGCTTAGGAAAGACATTGTGATTGGAAGAAGGAACACAGAGTTGAGCACAGGGCTGCTGAGTATATGTATACTCATAACTGCACAATTTTCTTCTTTCTATATTCTACACTCAGGATATTAAATATGTAGGTGGCCCTGAAAGTAACACCTCCTGTTTATTACAGTCACCACCATTAACAATACATTTTTTTTTTGTAATTAAAATTAATACACTAGATCTCAGTTACCTTTCACCTCCCTGCAATGGGAGGAGCAATGACCAACCTGGCTCTACTAGGATTCTTTTTCCATCTCAACAAGAAAATCATACATGCATACTGAAATAGTTTCAGCTGCATTATTTTGCCTCCCCCCTCTTTCTAGGGGTATAAACATATCCATCAAAAATAGGCAAAAACTCCACAAGAAAGTGCACATAGAACACAGTAGAGCCAAAAATACGAGAACAAGTAGGTACTGAAATCTAATTATTTTCCTGACTCAGTCTGTCTCCTCACTAAGCTGTTAATTACTCTCTAGATAACTGACATTACAATTAAACTGAATTCACAATTGGAATAATCATAGAAAAAACTTTCACTTCATAATTATTCAGATACAAAGAAAATTAGACAATGAAGAGTTACATATCCAAGGATTGCTTTTAAAACTAAGGAAATCTATTTAGTAGATACAGAACTAACGGCACGAACAAGCATTCCATGATCTTTCTTGCAAGTTATCAATTCTGTGATCTCTAAATTGGGAAGATTACATACTTGTACAGTTCTCATAGTATCTGAGGCAAAAAGGGACATAACTTAGGGTTGGTCAGATAGTACTGGAAACTGAATGCAGGCCATTGTAACCATGTACTACATTAACAAGAATTCCATCTCTCATATGACAGTACAGCCAAATAACAAACTGAATTTGCCCTGAACAACTGAGTTTGTCTTTTAAGTAATAAAACCTTCAAGTGCCACCAAGATACAGTGCACACTAGAGAGCAGCAGAGAAGTTTATTTACATTGAGTGTATTTGTGTAAAGGAGCACCTGTCCTGTGTTTGTCTTACAGCCAGAGTAATGTTGAGCTAGACATGCAGACTAGGACCCTGTCAGCTGCTCCTGACAGCTCACATTCTTCAGCAGCCTCTGCATCAACTATATCCTTCTGCTGATGGGGAAGCAAAGCCACAGCATGAGATTTCCTCTTGAACATATTCAAAGATCAAACTTGGTCGAGAATCTTAGAGTAGCCATCTCCATACAGACACTTCTGTCTATGAAGATAGTGGTTTCATCCACAAGAAAAAACATTTCTTTGACAAGAAAACACAGGTATTACAATCAGGGTTTTCAGATAGTCACAAGGTGTTACAATAACTGTGCTTGAAGATTTTTACAAGTTTCCTCAGAACAGTATTTTGGATCTTAATATATAGCAGAACACTATGAAAAAGGAACTATGCACACTTAACATCAGTTTAAAAACTGTCCTTGATAGCAGGTTGTGCCTGCATGCTGGCTCAGCTTTAGGAATTCAAGTGTCACACGGAAAATAAATTTGCGTTCTTGAGTATTCAGTTTCAATGGGTGACTATGATGAACATAGACAGTGAATACAAAAGAAAACACTGAAAAATGGGGCACTTGCTCTTCAAGCTTCTAATAAATCTACTTAAAAGTGTTTTCTGCTGACTCAAGGATTGCTGATGTGGATTAGAATTCAGTTTTAGTATACACCAAAAAGCAATGAGTGTCAAGATGCCAGGATTTCATCTCACTATTTCTGATCTAGGCAATAAAAGGTCAGTAAGACTCCTCAAGACATGCAGAAAACAACTTTTTGGCTGCTGCAAAGCAGCCATGAGAATGTCCTCACAATAAATGTTTCTATCCATTTTCAACCATATAAACGTGTGTCAATTTTTCAAACCTATGGGAGAAAAACAAGCTGCTTCTCCACTTCATCTGTTGTTTAGAAAGTTGCTGCTTTGTCTTTAGAGCTCTGTTGATGCTGCTTTCAGCAAGCCAGAACTCCATTGTTATAGCCTCTCTTTTCATTTGCCTCAGGGGACTGAAAGGATGGTACAGATGGTAAACAAACGTGCTTTATAGTTTTTGAGCTTAGACTGAGAAATTCAGATTAGTTTTTCATTTCTGGAGTGCAACTAAGCAAGGAGATTACCCAAATTTATAATCATCTGGTTCTCTGCTCTGTGCAGCTCTTCCACATTTACAGTGTCTAGCACAGATTTTTCTCAGTCTCAGAAAGTTGACTGGCA